GTATTTCGCGACGGAAAAAGAAAAAGCTTGATCGTCTTATTGAAGATGGTATTTGTGCACACTTGATGGAGGAAAACATAAAATATCATCAACAGATCATTCAGAAACTACTGATAACATAAACAGTGACGTCGGCAAAGAGCAATCTCGAAGTAATATGCGAGAAGATTTTGTTCCTCAGAAGAACTTGCCTCTACATGTGGATCCAAAATCATACGATGAAACTAAGGGAGTGTTCGAGAACGAGCTTCGTATGAGTTGCTCCGTTACCGGGCACCAAATATTGGACGAAGGTCGTCGTAGAGATACCTGGTGTTCTGATATCGATAAAACCAGCTTTTGTTCATGCAATCAAGAAGAGGAAGACGACGATGCCTTTGAGTTTATTCAGATGCCTACTTTGGGAAGTAGGGATGAATCGCTTACGCATTCTGAGGAGCTCACTGGCGAGCAACGACGACACGACAGCAATCGGGATTCACCCAGTTTCGAACTCTTGTCAGAGTCGCCCTCGCCTACACCTACATGCTTCATGCACTTCAACGAAGAACATTTCTCGGCGAACGAGGGAAATCCGAACGAGTATGAATCTTTTAGCTTTCTTAACTCACGGTACAGCTCCATTTTTGTGATAGATATTCACGGTAGAATCTACAACGATTATGAATTAGCAAAGCTCAATTGGCAAAGCGTTAACGCTGATTTGAAAAAACGAATTGATAAAAAACGTAATTTGTACATAACAGACCAACTTCAGAATACTCACTGTTCGAATCCAATCCTAGAGCAATCAAACGAATGGAAGAAGAATCCTCGAGATGACATTGGGTGCAACTCTCGCGACAACGTGAGCAACTCGTACGACGACGTGAGAAACTCGCATACGAGTTATCTGACCGTGCAAACTCACTGCGACTCAAAGTCGCAATCACAATGTAGTTGCCAGTCGCAGACCGATTTGAACGACTTCACACAAAGCTTCCACTCTCACACCACATCGGTTACTGACACGACCGACATTTACACTGAGGCTTATGGCAACGATAAATACGACGAGCAAGTGATAACGACTAAGAACGTACGAGAAGCGGGAACAGGAACAGCGGCAGCAACATCAACAGCAACAGCAACGGCGACAACGACAGCGACAGCGACAGCGACTCCGAAAAACGATCACGATGTGCGTTTTGGGGATGACTATATAAAGGATGAAATGACAAATGAAAGATATTTCCCTGATGCGGATGACTGTCCAGAGGATTTCTGCACCTCGCATAATAATACCCCGCAGAAAACTTCGGTTGATCCTCCGTACCAATCCACTCAATCGACTAGATCTTCCGATACAGCGAGTTCTAATGTAGGATCAAAGAAGACATTCATTGGCGAGACGCTGGATATTCATTGGCGAGACCCCGATCCTGCCCACATCTTACCAGAACTAGTCACCGCGGCCGCCCATGTCAGTTCGTTGGCTTATGACACTGCACGCGAAGTATTTGACAAGATACGAGCACACACGGTGAGCTTTTAAAGTGATGCGTGAAAAATGCGTTTCTTGATAATTAAATGCAAAGACGATTTGAATTATGCGAATGAGATTGTCACGAAAACGATTATCTGTTTCAGAGGGAGGATTCTGTTAAACGTCAAGCCAATAAATACGTAAAGCGCGACGATCGAGTATTACATCCGAAGCGCAGAAACTTTCAAACCTTCACACACCCTAATTAATATTAATAAATTACTAACTTATAATACTAATCACTTTTTTGTTTATACTATACACTGATATACTATACACTACAGGATTGCTAAGTAGATCTATTAGGCGATAAATAAGTATGCGGATCGGATTTGCAGGCTCGAAATAGTATTGTATTTTGATGCAATCGAAATGTATACGATGTCTTTCATAATATTGAAGTTTCTTAGATTACGCAATGAATAAAGTTAAGTTTCTTGATTACGCCGATTAATGTTAATTGACTTATTGAGAAATACTAGGAATGCATAGAATATCCAATTGTTAACAGAAAGAATTTTGATGACACTGAACCAGTAGAATGAGAAATTTGGAAAAAAATGATAAAGAATACTTTGTTTATACGAGCGATTCTCTTAATTGCGATAAAGTAAAAAAATATCTCGGTGACAAATCAAGATATTCAATCGAATATTACGTGTCTATTTATCGAATGAAATTAAGAATCACTTTGTATGTAATAATATATTAGTGATAAAATAATATTCATAGTGATAAAATGTTCTCTATGTCATAGAATGTTAGAATTGAGTAGCTGTATAAAATTAAGGAACTGAATACATATATAATAAAAACGAATAGACGAAATTGGGAAGGAAAGAGTGAGATAATGTGAAATAGTTTTAGGTCGTCTGGAAGACATAATAGATTGTTTGAAAAGAAAATGTAAAATTCTTTATTATAGTCTATCCGCGCAAATAATATGAGGGCTAGAAACAAATTGTTTATGTACGAGGATAAATCAAATATAAATGAGAATTTTTATGTATTATTTATTGAACAAAAATAAAAATATAAAAAAAAAACATTATTTTTCTACGTAGTCACCTGCTGCATCAATACATTTTTGCCAGCGGATAAAGAGTTTGGTAATTCCGTTTTCATAAAAAGTAGTAGGTTGTGTATTGCGAATTTTTCTACACATCCTCGTGGCATCGTCCATGAATCGTATTGTCCTTCTATTCTTCTTTTAGCAAAGCTGTCTCAATGAGATTATCATTTATTCGAGCCAATAAAAGAATTGGAAGGATTCGAGAACGATATCAGTATAGAGGAATTCGTGCGCAATTGATTGCAGACAACCTACTACTTTTTATGAAAATGGGATCGCCAAACTCCCTATCCGCTGGCAAAAATGTATTAATGTAGTAGGGAACTATGTGGAAAATAATTTGTTTTCTTTATATTTTTATCCTCGTTTAATAAATAATAAAAAAATGGTAATTATTATATTTAGACACTCCTCCTCCTCAAATTTTAATAAAAATACATTTATTCGACGTGTTTTCACTCAAAACAAAAAAATCTGACAAAAAACGCGGCTCGTGAATCATCTATATAGGATGATATCTTAATCTCTAAAGTCTCCAACTTTAACGCTTAATAATTCTATTCACGAGGCCGACCGCCGCGTTTTTTTACCAGATTCGTTTTGAATGTATTTTCATTAAGATTTGAAGTGCGGGGGAGGGGGGAGGGAGGTATTCTAAATAATTACCAAAATTCTTGTTTATATTTGATCTACCCTCGTATAGATGAATCAGTTCTTGTTCTGCTTGTATATTTATTAAAACGAAGGAGCGAATTTATGATTTAGAGCTAAAATCATTAGTAGCCTACACGGATTTTGCACATGCATCTAAAGAGTTGCGATTCGGTTTGTCACTTTGAATATCGGTGCAGAAGCAAGGAAGCATTACCTGCCGATAATTCTCTTAATAATAAAAAAATAAAAAATAAAAAAAATCGCCCCTCCAGCATGTGCGTAAAATCGTAAAATACTTAATGTATATCGAATTGATGTTCCATAAAAGGATGTTTCGTGATAAGATTTACACGATGTGATTATTCAATTACTGCACTTTTGAAATTCTTATCTTATATGACACGCATTATTACGTTATGCTAAAGCTTATGGAAATTTAGCCGGACTTATGGAAATAAATGTTATTATATAAATTATAATGTATAGTTCAGATTATATAAATGTTCATACGCAATTTTGATCATTTAAAAATTTGAATATATCTCTATATGTAGTAATTTTATTTTATACAATTTAAATAATTAAATATAATTGTCATTGATTATTTTTTTTTTGCTAACACATTTGTACAGTAAAATTTTGAATTTGTATAAAAATATTTATATACAGTTTTCATAATTTCGAAAGTCTTGTATATCCTTGTCTGCTTTTAATAGGCAAAGCAGCTCAGTAAACAAAATTTTTTTATTTTTCATTTTAACCACTTCTGCTCACTTGTTAAATTTCTCATTTATTACATTTACATAATTTAATTAAATTAATTAAATTTGTCAATCTCTAAAATTTTCCAGTTTTATAATTAATTTTTATCGTATCATTCACAGCACTGGTACAATTTTAATAATAATTTGCTACTTTTGCTTTAATTTTGTAAAAATGTATAAGCTATTAAAATTTCTTATTTACAATTTCTAAAATTTTAAATGTTGTCTTGAAATATATAAAATATCCCGTTTCTCACTCCATGAATTTACTTCCAGATTTGTTATTTTGCACTGAGCATTTTCAGTCTGACATAATTATTTTTACGAAAAAAAGGAAGAAATTGTGAGAGTGAGATTGTGTATTAAAAATAATTCCTATATCTCTTGTCGTAATCTCGAGGGTGACACAGATGCTCAATAGAGTGGGCCCTTGATGTTGGAGGAATCTTTTGTATCTGCGACACGTATTCTTATTCTCTTCGAATAAGGGTACATATAAAAATTATTATTTCTCACTTAGTTATTCCTCATCGTTTTTCATCATCTTTGTAGGCCAAATTGACATTCCCATTCTTCTCTTCCAAGGATATAGCTACATCATTATCTTTTTCCTCTGGTATTTCCACATATTTGTAGAATATAGTCATGATGCCAAATATCACCATTACTACCGCCATCAAGCCGGCATATAGGAAAATCTCGTACACCTGTGGAATAAATAAATAAATCGTATGAAATATGAAAATGAGAGAGAAAAAAATAGAATATATAATTGGTTTGGTCACTTACTAGCCGCTCAAAGGGATGCGAACCCTTTACGATTACTACAATGAGATTGCCGAAGGCTACGCTCAGCAACCAACCCGCTTGCAGTAGAGACTTCATGGATGCTGGAGCTTGAGTAAAAGCAAACTGCAGACCTGTTACAGAGAACATCACCTCGGCCATTGTGATGATGATATATTGCGGCAACATCCAAGCCATATGCAGCGAATTAGGTGGCGTGACCGTGACTGTTTTGCCAAGAATCTTCGGTTTGTTATTATACATAACTTTGGAACCTATCACGGTGTACACTCCACCGGATTTGAAAGGCACATTCTTGTCTAGCAGTGTTTCGTCTAGGTAGACGTCATATTCGCTTGGATCCTCAATTTCTTTTAACTCCGATTCGGAGAAATGGAAACTGACCGGAATTGATACTACCGTCTCGTTTTCGTCTTTACGGAGCAACTTCAATGTGGCGTTACTTTCAGACTCAAGATAGATGACACTGCGGACCATCGGCTTACCATTCTCCGGTTTGTTCACCCTGTCTTTATAACTATATAATCCCAAGGGCGTTATAACCCAAGATGTTGCACTGGCTTCCTCGACAGATACAATACCTGATGAGAAGAAAATTATTTTAAAAATATATGTTACATTTTTCGAAATCCAAACTTCATGAATTTTACCTTCATTATTCTTCAATATGTAACCATTATCGTAGCAGTCTTCGAAATCTATTGTGTAGGATATATCTTTAATAGATTCGTTTATTTTTACTTCTAAAACTTCTGACATGTTTAGTGGGTTTATTACATTCTTTTGATCTAAATTTACTTCATTTAAATGTACATTCACTGTACAATTCATTGTATTAAAAATTCGGATTTGAGCAGATCCGTTTGTCGGTAACTGTGGATATGTTTTCTAGAAATCAAAATATAAAACATCACATTCTTCGTGTAAGGATCGTAGCATTAGTTATTATATAATTCGGATTTGGCAAGATATATATTAATATGTGATAATATATGTATAATTGATATATTAAAACTTCCATATCTTTAAAAGAATTTAAATAAGCATCCATTACAAATAGATATATCAACAATTTCGAATAATAAATATAAAATTTCTCTTTATTCTTTACCTCGAGTTCTATTTCGACAATACCGGCTGCGACGAAAGCAACGCTGGCCAAAAGCCCGCCGACAACGAGCTTCTTCAAGGGCGTATTAATGAAATGTATTTTGGCAAAAATCGGATAGATACCAGTCTCAAAGATTGGTATAAAAATCATGATCAACAATGGATTGACGGCCTGTAACTGATCAGGTAGTATTGTAATACTGCCTATTTGGCCATCCATTCGTGTTGCTTGGAAAGTCCATTGAGAACCCTGCTGATCGTAAAGCGCCCAAAATATTGGCAGTGGTACGAACAGTTTCAAGACTCGCAGTACAACTTTGATATCTTCGATTAGCTTGTTGTCGTAAACGTCATCGGCATGATCGAGCCAATGATCGCGTTTTTCTCCTTTGCTTTTAATTTTATTGTAGATTGCATGCTGGTTTTTTGAAACATAAAGAGAGTACGTTTATCTTAAGAGATTTCGAAATTTAAATTTTCATGAATTAGTTAAAAATTTATGGAATTAAACATATAAAAGAGAGATTCTAATTATGAACTCTTATTTTCATGACAGAAAATACAAAAATCCGTAGATCTACATATAATATTCTAGAAATATTTATAAATTTGCAAGAGTTCATACAAATTCCAAGAATTAGGATCTATATTTGCCAGCATTTTAAATCGTACAATAAACAGATAATAAAATTATTTTACAGCCACGCAAGAGTATCGTTTTATTTATATATGAAAAAAATTATATTAAAAACATTTAAATAAAAAAAATATATATATACATTCTAAGCTATTTTCAATTGTTTAGTAAATTGTTAAATAATAATCTGTCTTTCAGTTTTTGCAGTCTAATCCTGCAGGTGGCATTTATATTTATTTTAAGTTTTCAGACTTAAAATTTTGATGATATACGACTTACGCAAACGCATTTGGAAACTTTAACGATGAGATTGCCCGTAGGATTGACCATTTTGTACATTCTTTTCCCGGTGACGAATACAACTAAAAGTAAAAATTAAAATAACATTAATCTAAAAACTGCATCAGTATGAATGAGAGATTTATTTCATGTTTTCTCATTCTTACCAATTGATATAATCATTAGAACGGCTGGTACCAAAAATGCCACGAAGTAACAATCGGCGCCAAAGCACTCTGTTTTACGAATCACCGGAGTTAGTATAGTTGAGATTAGAGAGCCTGTGTTAATAGAGAAGTAGAAAATGGAAAAGAACATCGCCAACTGCTTTTCTTGTTGAGGTAAGACGAACTGGTCGCCTCCGAAAGCTGATACACAAGGTTTTATCCCGCCTGTACCAACCGCTATTAGGATTAAACCTAATATGGCAAATTCTCTGCAAAATTGAAAAAAGTTTATTCTTTTGTTACTAGGAATTAAAAACTATTAGAAATTAACAGCACTTAAATGATATTAAAATTAAATCGTATTCCAACAATGTCTAAATTTAAATGTAATTCTAGATACAGAAAAGTTTTTTTTAATAATATCTGTGCGTGCTAATTTTCAATGTTATTTTAGATATGTTGTACTGACTTTGCGGGCAATCCGATGGGAGTTGCCGCACTTAAAGATAGAATCACTTGTCCAAGTGAGTAAATAATACTCAAATAAAGAATGGTATTGAACTTTCCAAGCCACGAATCGGATATGATCGCGCCAAGCAACGGAAAGAAATAGACGAGACTACTGAAGACATGATAGATTATTGTAGATGTGCTTTCACTGTATCCCAACATGTTAAGTAAATACAACGAAAGGACGGCTAAAAATAAAAAAAGATAATTTCGTGTTAATATTGTTTATATATATAATTAAATTATGTATATATTAATCACAGATTCAAGATCAATGTTAGAATTATTTTTCAGTATATCAGAATTTTAGAATTATAAATAAAAATAAATTAAATATTAGGTTAAGTAAAAAGTCATCGCGTATTTTTTAGCTCAAAGTTGTATATACAATTATCTTCGTCAATAATGA